AAGCCAGAGAGGGCCCCAGCCTGGCAGGAGAGAGGGGAGGCGAAGCCGACCTCCTCCCCCTCCTCAGGGGCCCCTGGCCCCCACTGCAGACCCCAGGCCACCCCCACCCTCTTCTGAAGAGCGCTGAGGGAAAATCCGGTCCCCACGTTTCCACGGTGCTGGCCTGGTGGCTTCTCAGGCCCCTTATCAGCCCAGCAGAGGGCAGGGCCCTTATCAGCTCTGCGGAAGGCCAAGGAAGCCAGGCCCAGGGGCTGGAGAGCCCTGTGTCCAAGGTCAGCAGCGCCTGGCCTCACGGAGGCACCGCCGGAGCGCGCTGGGCTGGAGGCGGCCTGCAGAGCCGCTTCCGTCTGCAGGACGGCGCCTCCCCCGCGGCCACAGAGAACAGAGCTCAGTGGCATCTTTAAGGGAAAGCCACTGAGTCCCACAGCCTCGTGGCCAATCCACTCCTCGCCCTCCCACGCGCAGTCTGGGAACCCAGGCCACGGCCTTCCCAGCCCCATTTCCTCCCAAACCTGTATACACAGCCTTTCAGCCTCAGGGGGCGGGGCCGGAGTGAAATAACACAGGTGTGTCTTTCTAGTTTTTAAACCAAACACCCTTCCCTCCTTTTTATCCCTCCTCCACGAATTCAAAGAGACCCCAGGAAAACTCGCAGTGGCCTGCCTCCCACACTTCAGTTTTGCTGGGGATCTCAAAACTGCGGGGACCTGCCCACTCAAGCGCACCCTCATGCGCCCCGGGGGACGGACCGCTTGCGGCAGCACGGAGCCGCTGAGGCCCTGGCCCACGCGGAGCCCGGGACGCGCCGGCGGAAGAAGCTGCCTCCCACCGAGCTCCTGGCTGAATCACCGCTCTTTGTCTGGCACCCTCGGAGCGCGCGCAGCCAGGCGGGCGGGCGGCTCGCACCCACGGCGCCCCAGGGCTGCGGCCCCCACTTGTGCCAGCCTGTCAGCGAGATCCCCACTTGCGGTGCGCCAAGCCCAGCCAGGGACAACGCCAAGGTCTCCTAGAAGGGTCTCACCCAAGCACAGGCAAGACCTCTGCAGGGCCCCAGTCCGGGCCCGGATGAAGTTCCCCCCGGGGCCCCGCGGCCCGGAACAGCGCGCGGCTCCCGCCGCGGGAGCGCGGGAGGAGGCGCAGGAGGTCGGGGAGGGGGTGGAAGGCAGCCGCCGCCTAACTATTAATATCTTGTACCCTTTTACACTGGCGCATTGTTTCGTTTTCAAAACACTCTGTGCCTGGCTGAGCACGGCTTTATTTTCGAGTACCTCCTTTATTTAATAATTTTTTTTAAATCCTTAAGAAGTGATTCGGCCTACACAGATGAGCGGTGTTTTTTTTAACACAGGAGCTATTATTTACGTAAAACTGAACTCGAAGAGATGACAGGACCTGAAGTTTGAAATTGTGAAAAAAACAGGAACGTCTTGCTGGGGGCGTCGTGAATCATTCTTTCCGGTCCTGCGGGGGGGGGGCGTGCGGCAGAGCCGCCCTTGGCAACACCAGTCTACCTGCCGGTCCAGCACCAGGAACGCCCCTCTCTGACGACAAACCCCTTTATGACAAAATCACAAGTGTGTCATTCTGCACCGTGACGGGATCACGCTCACGCACACCATGTGATACTTTAGGTGAAATGCTCACATTAAAACTATAGATTATTACACCCACATTAGTATCCTACCAAGCGCACTCAGGCAGGCGTTCCTTCTGCCGGCCTGTAATTGGCTAATTTAGAATGGAAAATGTATCCTTCTGCGTACAGACACTCCACACACCAGTGGAAACGGTGTTTTAGATACAGGAATCCAAATGGCTGGTGACGCAAAAAATACGGTCTCTCCTAACCAAAGCCTCAACCTGCAGGGTCAGGAGCCCCCAGGACTCGGAGCGAGGCTGTAACCTCCTGGCCTCAGCCGGGCGGAAGCCAGGTCCTCGCTGACGTCTATGCCAGAGGCTGGAAGCCCCAAGCTGGTCCCTCGCAGCAGCACCAAGTGCTTCTCCCCAGGACAGTAAGCTCCTTGCTGCTGGGGTGGAGCACAGACCCCCAGCAACTTTCTGGGAATCACTCACTGCCCCGGGCTCCAGAATGCCTGGGGCTGGGGTGGGGGGCGCCGCAGGAATCTGGCGGGGTGGGGGAGGGGACAGACCCAGGACTGCCTTTTCCTCCAGGTTCAGAGGGGAGGGGAAGGGAGGGGAAGGGAGGGGAGGGGAACTGGAAGACGGATCTGCAGGGGACAAGCTTTTGTTCCAGCTCTCTGGATGAGCTTCAGATGGAGTTAAACTGTCAGCTAATGAGATTTCCTCCCCATGTGCCCCTTTCAAGTCTGAGCCCCGAACGACCTGTTCCCCAGACAGCAGCAGGGGGCAGAGCCACCTCCCGTCCCCAAGGGCAAGAGGATTCCCAAAGCAAGTGCGGGAACTCAAAACTGGTCACAAGTTTATCCACACCCACCGCCTCACCGCTGGCTGCAGGCCCTCGCCACCAGGGTGACCAGCAGGTCCGGGAACACGGGGGTGGAGGGGCACCAGTGGGAGTCCATCCCACTGTGCAGACTGCGGGGCCGGCGCCCAGTCCGAGTTCTGTCTGCGGGTTTGTCCGAGCGCTTGTCTCGGCAGGCGAAGGCCTGAGGTCTGCACGCAAAGCTGGGTTACGGGACCCAGGGCCACCGTTTGCCCCACCTGGCAAAGGGTGCCGGAACAGAAGCGTTTTCTTTTCAGTAACATCTTATTCTGTAGGCTAGCCTGAGAGGATCCTTTCTAAACGATTTATCTGGTCACGTTAAGGAGTTTTTCTTGTTTGGGTCTTTTCTGTATGCAACTGACTCTTTCTTTGCCTACAGAAAATCAGCTGGTGGAGCAGAGAGACCAGTCACACACGCCGACAGCGCCTGAAGCTGTCCATCGCGACCAGTCCTCTCCCACCGTCCCAGCCGCCCCAGCTCGCTCCCGAGGGCTGCTGCTCCCCACCCCGGTGATAATTACTTGGCAACTTCCGTGTTTACACCCAGAGACATCTCCCGGGAGGAGCTCTTTGCCATGGTGCACAAAGAGCACATTCTAGAAACTAGCGAGTTACCAGCTCACATTCCCCTGCTATCAGGCAGTGTTCCCTCCCCGCCAAAGCCAGGTATCTCTTTGTTCGAACTTCCCTCCATCCGGGCACTAATGACTCCGCACAGCGGCCATTGGCTCCGTCCCACCTGGCCAGGTTTCCACCTCCGCCCAGGCCTGGGCCTCAGCATAGCCTCAGAAAGAGGGAAGACGGGCAGGAGAAACAACTGAAGCCTGAAGGAAATTCAAACAGGAAAGGAAGCTGGAAGCGATTAGTTCAGTGCCGCGAAGTTAAACCTGAGGCCATTAAAACGCGCCCTGATGCGAGTCCTCACGCTTTTTAAAACAAACAGGAGCCGGGAGAGGAGAGCTGTGGGAAAGGACACACGGGCTGTCCTGTGTAAGAGTCCCCCACTCTGAAAACCACACTGATCCAGCGGTTCACACGTGCCAGGCACTGTCCCACGCAGGAGATTTATACTGTCATTTTAACAACCCCCCCCCACACACACACACCAGTGGGAACGCTCCTCCCCACCTCCCAGGCTCGGACGCAGACGCAGGAGGGCTGAGTAGCTGTCCCGGCTCGCCCCGCTCCGAGAGGCACTGCACAGGCACTGGAACCCGGGCTGGTTTGACCTCAGCGCCAGGCTCTCAACCTCTACTCCTGCTCACACAAAGTGTATGCCAAGTCAGCACGCGTGGGTAACCCGATCCGGCCCGCTCTGACTCAAGGGTGCCCCGCAGCTGCTCCGCGGGCCGCGTGGGTACCACCGAAGCAACACGGATTGGTGGGCATCCTGAAGGGCTCACACGCGTCCTTCAAGACCTGCCAGCACGCAGAAAAGGGCAGGCTCGGATCAACGTGGGCTGACGGGGGGCAAGGCTAGATAGAGGACGCTATTGGAAGGGAAGGGAGCGTGGCTCGGTCAGCGCCCCGACGGCCGCCCATCTGAGAAGGACCCTGGCCCGGACGCGGCGCCTCTGGGCGCCAGGGGCTGGGGGGCGCCGTCGGCGGCGGGGACTGGAAGCAAAGGCGCCTCCAGGGCGTCTTTCCCTGCAGCATTTCTCCAGGAGGCCGGGGGAGGGGGCATCACCTGACAGCACGCACCAACTTCTCCTGGCTCGGAGGGGCGCGCGGCAGCGGCAGGCCCGGGGAGCACAGGGCGCAGCTCTCGCCCAATGGCGAGGTCTGTAAACAAAAGCGGGCCCCACGCGGGTCCCCGGGAGGGCTGCGAGCGGCGCGGCAGCATCCCAGCGGCCCGGCCCGCGGTCGTGCGCGGGTACCCCACGCACAGACCTCTGGACCCCGCACCCAGGCCAGTCATTGTCTGCTCGCCTGCAAAATGCCGCTTTAAACGCCCCCCCACTCCCCGATCGGCCGCGGGTTTTTGGCCCAGCGTGCCGACCCCCGCTCTCCTCCCCGTGGGTCCGGCCCCGAGCAGGGCACCGATCGCCAAGGTGAGCGCCCAGTCCGCGTCGCCGAAACCCCGGGCCTGGAGGTGCCCAGGTCGGGGACGGAGACACACACAGCCACACGCAGGCACACGCACGCCCTCCCCGAAGTTGATAAAAATCAGCCGACAAATACAAAGTGCCGCGGCCGCCGCGGCAAGTCAGCGCTGACCTCCCGCCGCCAGGAAGACCGAATGCCAACGCCCGGACGCTGTCACTTCCATTCGGCGCCGGGCACCTGGACGCCGCTCGCTTGTCTCCCTCCTTAAGGTTCGAGCGAGAGCTGTCTCCCCGCCTCCCGAGTTTGCGAACACGAAAACAATACCAACAGAGCACAATCGGGGGGAGCTAGGACCCGCCGGGAGCCCCGGTGTGCGGGAGACGGGGGTCGGGACGTGCCCGTCAGGAGCACAGTAGCTCGGGCATCCTCCCCGCGGCCCTCGGGGTGGCTCCGGCCAGCCGGCCCGAGCTCCCAGGCCCGCGATACTCACCCGCGACGCTCGTCCCGGGTCTCCACGACTGGGACGGAATGATGAGGGAACGCCGGAATCCCGGGGCTGCGGGGACTGAGGCGACCGCTGCGCTGCAGAGCTGCGAGCCCGACGGCGGCGGCGCTGCTCCGCCCGGCCGCGCTCCGGCACTCGCGGTCGGCCAATGAGAGCCGGCAGAGCGCCTCCGCGGGCGGCCTCTGGGGCGGGGCCCAAGGAGCGCGTGGGAAACCGGCCTCCAATTGGTCTGCCTGACGATCGCTCCGCCTCCTGCCGGCCAATCAACGACCGTGGATACAGGAGCGGGGCGTTCGGAGTTGGACTGGAGACTGACAACAGGAGCACGCTGGGTACCCCGCTGCATCCCGGCCTCGGTGCGCAGCCGGAAGGATGCCGTGCCACGCGGCCCTGGGCTGCCTTCCCACGCAGCTCCCGCGGCGCGGCCTGGGGACCCCTGGGGTCGGCCAAGAAGGCACGGCTGTTGGGGAACAGCGACGGAGCCCCTAACAAAGCGGCTCTGGGTGGGCCGAGTGGCCTCCGCCTCCTGCCGCAATAGGTCCGCGAAACTGCCTGTCACCCTTCATAGGTGGAGGTGGCCAATGACGCACAGAGAAGGGGCTCGAGTTGGCGCGCGCGCGCTCGCGGCTCGGCATCGGTGGGATTGGTCGGAGGTAAAGGGTTTTCCTGCCACCTAAGGCAGACGGCAGGGGAAGGGAAAGGGGTCGGGGGAGGGGAACAGCCAACGCTGTACCTAGGACACGTGGTCCGGCTTGGAGGCGTGTGCCTGGCTCTAAGGCTGACGAGAACTTTTTTACGAGAAGAAACTACTTCCTCCCCGTGGCTGCTGCGGGATGTTGGCGCCAGCCAGGCTCCAGGTAGGGTGCGGTGGCCTTAACCAGCGTCCCGGAGCCCAACCCTTCCCCCTGCCCAGCGCGTGAACTGGACTCACCTGCCCAGCCACGTTAACTTGAAATCTTAGCGAGGGGCTCCGGCCTCACATTCACCTACTAGGCAGAATTGTGAGCCTGGAAAGACTCACACAGACCTAGTTTCTTCTGTAAAATCCAGAAACGACGTTGGCCATTGGCCGTTGACCTTTCACGAGGTAGTGAGGCACACAGAAACTGGGCACTGACCGTAGAGGCTCCAAAGAAAGCTCTGCCCCCGCACCTTCAGAGCTGTGGACTTCCCGGTTAATACCAACCCGATTCGGTGGGCGTGTTCGCCCCCAGGGGCTGGAAAGCCTGAGCTCCCGGGACTCTGGTTGAAAACGGAACCACAGGCCTTGGCGGGGTGGATCAGTGGGTTAGAGCATCATCCCAATAAGCCGCGGTTGCAGGTTCTGTCCCTGGTCAGGCAGGGCACATGCAGGAAGCAACCAGTGAGTGCGTGAATAAGTGGAACAACAAATTGTTCTCTCTGTCTCTCTAAAAATCAACTTTTAAAAAAGAAAGGAAATGGAACCACAGAAGAAGCTGCCAGTATCTTTCAGGTAAACCTAAAGTGGAAAACCAAGTCATGCTGGACTTCTCCCTGGTTCTCCCCGGTTCTCCGGCCTCGAAGATCCAAGCCCTCGTCTCCACGCCCCCACCCCACCGGACGTAAAAGACCTTCCGTGTCTGTCTCCCGCAGGCCTTGCCCCTGAAGTCTCATCTACATTTTGCAGAATCATCCTTCCAAACCGAAGAGTACTTTGCTCTCTCACTTCGGCCTCCCCTTTGTCCAGAACACCCCCAGCCCCCATAGGTCCTCCTCACCAGCTGATCCCTCCCGTTCTCCAGGACCTGGCCTGCAGCCAGCGCAGGCACCCGGTACACATAGCCGCACTGCATACCACGGAGCACAGTCTTGTGGGTACTGGGAGCTGCCTGGATCGGGTCAAGGCTGGGGACCGAGGCCCCCGCCCCACCCCGGCATCTCACGGGGCTGACACTGCCGTTTCGTCACACCACCACCCCCCCACCTCAGGTCCAGAGTCCTCTCCGTCTAGTTCCCGGCTGCATCCTGGTGCCCAGCGTCGTTCCTGGCGCACCTGGGGTGCTCAGAAGCACTCAGTGAGCTACAGAGGAGCTCTCATGAGAGGCGAGGGCCCTGGACGTGGGAAGCACGTCGCGGCGTCAGTGTGGGAAGGACGAGGACAGTGGCTCTCAGAGTGCTGGGTCTGCCAGGCCCCACAGTGGGCGTCGGGGGTGGGTCGGGGGGTGGCTAGTGGTGTTGAGTGAAGTTTGAAGATTTTTCCAAAAGGCGGCCTTCCAAAAACTACCTTCCTCTCAGCCAGCATCTTGCCCAAGCCTCTAAGTGGAGAGCCATTCCTTTGTGAAGCTTTTCATCCCCGGAGAAAGAGCAACTTCTGAACCTGTGACCAGCCACCATCTTGGAAGGGGACTGTGTTTATGAAAATGAACAGAAGGTTTTTCCCAAAGGATGCTCGGGAGTGCCCTTGGCCATGCTCTGGAGCCGATTGCCGGTTTCCAATCCTATCCCTATGGCTTTCTAGCTGTGACCTTGGTCAGGTTATTCTAGACCTCTGGGCCTCAGTCTCCCCCTCTATACTATTGAAAAGGTAAGAGTACCCACTGCATAGGGTTGTTAGGAGCATGAGTGATAATATTACTAATAGACTTAGAAAAGGAAGTGGCATGTGTGGCCTGGCCGTTGTGGCTCAGTTGGGGCATCGACCCATAACCAAAGGGATGTGGGTTCGATTCCCAGTCAGGGCACATACCTAGGCTGGGTTTGTTCCTGGCCCAAGTGCCTAGGATCCCCAGTCCAGGAACATAAGGCAGGCAACCAACCAATTCTCTCCCACATCCGTTTCTCTCTCTCCCTTCCTCTCCCTTTCTCTTTCTAAAAGCAATGAAAAAGTGGCCCTGGCTGGTGTGGCTCAGTGGGTTGAGCACCAGCCTGTGAACTGAAGGGTCACCGGTTCAATTCCCAGTCAGGGCACATGCCTGGATTGCAGGCCGGGTCTCCAGTTGGGGGTGTGCAGGAGACAACCAATCGATGTGTCTCTCACACATCGATGTTTCTCTCCCTTTCTTTCTCCCTCCCTTCCCCTCTCTCTAAACATAAGTAAATAAAATCCAAAAAGTAAATAAACACTAAAAGCCATGAACAAGTGTCCTTGGGTGAGGATGGAGAAACATGGACGCAGCACACAGTAACACGAAGCAGTGTCTGTTAAATGAGCATCTCCCACCGCAGGCGTGTGCGGCGGCCCTGTGCCCTGGCCGGTTCCCAGAGGCGCTCCTGAACGTGACTCCGAGTGCTGGCGACTCCTGGTCGGCATGGGGGTTAGGGGCGCTGCCCCCACAGTCAAAGTTCACGTGCAGCTGCTGACTGTAAGCCTTACCGGTATAAAGAGTGGATCGACATTTTGTATGCTATGGGCATTGTAAACTATGTTCTTACAGTAAAGTAAGCTAGAAAAGAAAAACTTTTTAAGAAAACCATGCCCTGGCCAGAGAGCTCAGTTGGTTACAGCATCGTTCCAATAGGCCAAGGTTACGGGTTCAGTCCCTGGTCAGGGCGCACACAGGAATCAAACCGTGAAGGCATCAGTAAGTGGCCCTGCATGTTGATGTTTCTCTCTCTAGTAAGTAAAAAAATCATAAGGAAGAGAAAATACATTTACAGTGCTGTACCTATTTATTGGAACAAATCCAAGTAGCAGTGGACCCGTGCGGGTCAGTCAAACCTGGGCCGTTCGAGGCCCCTGTAGTCGGACGCCTCAGCCTCCCTCAGGGCGGCTGCATGGTGGCCCGCCCACACCGGAGGGAATGCGGGGTGTCAGTGGTGGAGTTGGACCTCGGTCCTTGTGCTTGGCTAGGAAAGAATTCGGAGCCAGGAACTCTAACAGTGAGTTTATTTAGAAAGTCACAAGGTAGACGTGAGCCAGGTGGGCCCTGGCTGGTGTGGCTCAGCGGACTGAACGCCGGCCTGCGAACCCAAGGGTCGCCCTGCGATTCCCAGTCAGGACACAGGCCTGGGTTGTGGGCCAGGTCTCCCGTGGGGGGCACTCGAGAGGCAACCACACATTGATGCTTCTCTCCCTTCCTTTCTCCCTCACTTGCCCTCTGTAAAAAAAATAAAATAAAATCATTAAAAAAAAAAAGTGAGCCAGCTGGGCGGCAGGGTCCCCAGAAATGTCACGGAGCAAAAGAAGGGCCCTCGGAGCTCAGGAGAGGGGAGGCCAACCAAGGTGCGCACTTGAGGGAAGACAGGGAGGAAGCCACCAGCAGGCAGGGGAGGGAGCGAGGGAGGGAGTGCGCTGGGTCTTTCCTCTTGTGGGTTTTTATCTGTTTTCTCAAGAGGGGGGGCATTTAAGGGAGGTCTGGGGGAGGATCTTCAATAGAATGTTCATCAGCTTTCCAGGTGTGTCCTTTCAAGGTCATGGTCTGTGCTGATTGGTCGGCACCTTGCAGGGGGTCCTCACTCTTCCCAGCTGGTCCTGGGGCAGCCAGGAGGAGGCCTCACCTGGCTGTGCCGCTCCCCTGGGCCTGGAGCTGAAGCACAGCTGAGGCCTAGATGCTCTCTCTAGTGTGACCGGCACTCGGCCTCCGAGGTCAGCAGAGCCAGCCGAGGGTTTGTTCCTGAGGTTATGTGATGCTGGTCAGAAGAACCTCACTGCCCTGAGGGCCTTGTGCTTCAGGGAGTGCGCACATGGGGATTGTAGGGGGCTATGCTCCGGCCCCTCGTTCCTGCTCTGAGGGGTCAAAAGCACGCGGCTGGCGACACGCCAGGGGAGGAAGGGTCACCCTGAGGCTCGCTGAGGTCCGAGCCTGCACTAGTTGTTCCCTCTAGTTTTGCCCGTTGCTAGGCGCCCAGGACTTCCTGCCCCCGTGACACTCTGTCCCTGGCGTGCCTTCCTGCTCTACCCGGGCCTGACGGCCCCTCCACCAGTGGCGAGGTGAGCCTAGGCACATCTGAGCATCCAGAGCCCTGGCTGCTCTGAGAACATCCAGAAAGCAGGTGAGGCCCAGAATTCCGGGGCCAGACTGGCTGCGTTGAATCCGAACCACTTTCTAGCTCCGGAGCTTGGGGTGGGGGGCCGTC